TCTCTGTCTCTCGCTCTCTCTCTCTCTCTCTCTCTCTCTCTCGCTATTTGTGTCTCACTCTCACTCTGTCTCCCTCTCCCTTTCTAACTGCCTAGCTCTTTGCAGTTATTTATAGTTGTTGCTCGTTGGTTGTGCGTATTTTTAATAAGTTGATTTTGCCGTCGCTTCGGTTTTATTTTGCATAAATTATGCAAGCGCCTGTCATTTGTCTGCTCTAGCACAACAAGGACAACAGCATTTTAAAGTTTGAGCACCACTGAGAAACTGTTGACGTGTGTGTGGCAGTGCATGCATGCATGTGTATGTGTGTGTGCGCGCGTGTGGCTGGGTCGATGGGTGGGGTGTTGTTTTATTAATGAGCTGAGCCAAATTAACTTTAATATATGTGTGTTTAAATGTTGAACAAGTGTATACTACTTTATGCCCACTCTTCACTCGTAATACCCTGCACTCATTAAACATGGTCAGCATGCGAGGGGTATATTGCATATGTGGCTAACATGGCATATCCTCGAAGCTACACACATGCATATTTCTGAATCACCCTAGCTAGAGGATTTCCTCTCTTTCTTTGATCATTCCTCTGCCTCTTTTTTTTGGAGTTTCAATTGTGGCATTTAATATGCTTTTTCTTGTATATCGATACTTATCGATAAGCTGAAAAGTGTTATATATGACGATCCGTTGGTCGACTTTCTCGAAATGTTTCTATTATACTTCTGATCAATACATTTTAAGTGCAGTTTACTATAAATTTAGATAATCACTACATATTCAATGTATATATCTATGTATACCTCTCAAATTGAGATCTATATACTCAAATATTTTCATAATTTTCTACACATTTTTTGCTTGGCGCAGATGCAGCATCACAGCAACTACCGGAAATACATAGCTGACAACAGGGTATCTTCGAGTCGAGCAGTCTAGTGTAGTGCACTATTACTTGGTACTGTTTTTCGTTGGTCTGGCATTTATCATTTATAATTGTTTGGCTTTGTGTCAACCATTTGGCCATTGCGGTCGCCTGCCCACTTGGCGCGTGGTGGAGCTGACGATGAAGTGGGAGGCATGTCGGATGGCGGATGGCAGAAGGCGGAAGGCGGAAGGGGCGTGACCATATTCTTTGTGCATTTCACATTTTGACACTTTGACATGCATTAAATCAGTCAAGCGTTGGCCACTTTGAGCTCCATGACTTTGCGGTACAGCTGTCTGTCTCGCTTCCGCCAACGCTCTGTAACTATGTAGCTGCCCTCTCTATCCTATTCTCTGTCTCTCTCTCTCTCTCTCTCTCTCTTACTATCTCTCTCTTTTAGTCACTCTCTGTCGCTCTTGTCATCTTGCTCTCACGCGCTGTCGGTGCTGCAGCAGAGTTTTAAGGTGACCACAGTTTGCATATTTAATTGCTGCAGTTTTGGGCTGACCATCATTTCATATTAATGAGCCAAACCAATGACAACTTTTGGCCCAAATGAGCATGTAAATGCGTCAAAATCATGTCATTAATATCATTTCGAATGCAACATCCAGGCCAGCACATATACAAACTAAGCCAGGGCTTAGCTCGCCCACACGAACTGCAACTACATTTCGTATTCAACCTGATGATAAATTAATCAAAGGAACAAAAGCTTGAATATGCTAATGTGGGCTAACTCTTTGTTGTTTTGCGAGCAACTGTCAATCGCAACCGATTTGTAATCTTCTTGTCAAATGGAAAGCCCAACATTCAAATCATAAAGCACAGCCAATTAAAACTCACCCTGATTGCACCTCGAGGACACGTTGCTAACTTGACGACAAGCTCCTGTCACAATTACATTCAGCTTTAACATGTGATGGACAAGCACTTATCAAAATGCGGGCACTCATAGGCAGATATAAAAGTGGTTTCATGATGACAACTTTTTTCTGTCTCTCTTCCATTCCCTCTCTCAGTCTCGCTTGTACATCAGGTGTAAACGGTGTATCGCTATCCCTAGTATCAGATATATGTATGTATAATATGTGGACTCTTTTACTCTTCCTCTCTATTAGACGCTACTTCAATCAATCCTTCAATTCTAGTGTATGCATCTTTATTATAATAGATGTGCAGACCCTTTGACTCCTGCTCTCAACTTGGACTGCTCTTCAAGATTGGTGCCTGCATACATTACACATCCCATGTGATACTTATAGTATAGTATAGTAGTATATCACATTCTCATTATATATTTCTCTCCCTCTCTCTCTCTCTCTCCCTCTCTCTCTCTCTTTCTCTCTCTCTCTCTCTCTCTCTCTCTCTGTCTATCCCTGTTTGCGCATTATCGAACAGTGCTCAATATTTTATAGTCCACTTACTTCGCTCTCTCTTTGTGTCAATCTCCTTTTTCATTTCGCCGTTATTTATGCACATTCACTCTAATCTTTCATCTATTTCTCGAGCTAAATCAGGTCGCTCTTTCCTTTATACCTATTTCACGCAATTTTTTGCCTCTCTCCCACCTTACTTCTCTCCCTTCAATTCCTCTCTCCCACTTTCTCTCTCTCTCTCTCAATCATTAACCTTTGCCTTGCCTCTCTCTAGCTCCTTTCTGTCTCTCTTCCTCCTATATTGTTGATTGGTTTATTTACACACAATTCTGCCTCCCCTCTCTATCGTTCTCCAATATAAACACCTGTGCTACCGACTTCTCTCATTCCCTTTTTGTTCTCTTTTTTTTCTCTCTCTCTATCTCTGTCTCTCTATCCCTCTTTCTCTCGTCCTATCCCTTTCCTTGCGAGATCGTAAGGCCGAAGGGCAAGGTTTTGACCAGGCGAACCGTTAAAATTTATAACATTTCGCGTAGTCGATGCTTTGTAAATTTATGTGCATGTAGTTTCGAAATTTGTATATATGTTAATTGCGACAAGGGAATAACGGTGCCAAAATATGTACACGAAATTTATGGATAAAACATGGCAATTGCTTTACTCGCTTTATTTATTTATATATATGTATAAATGTCATATATATTTTTTTTTTTTTTTGGTCTTTTTTCTTGCTCTTCTTTTTTTCTCGCTTAACATTTTCGACTTGTAGCAATTTATAATAATTTTGCTTGTTGTTGTTTTTTTTTTTTTTGCCTTTGGCATAAATCAGGCGAAAATGCAAACTCCAAGACGCGAGCAAAGGCCAAAGGCAAAGGGGAAAGGAGGATAAAGAGTGGTGGATGGGGGGATGGATTGTGTAGTCTGCCTATAGTAGCTGTAACTGTTGTTGTTGCTGCTGCGGCTGCGGCTGCGGCTGCTTCTGTTGTCGTTGCCTTTGCCTTTGCCTTTGGCTTTATTTCTGTAGCTACCACAAGACGACATTAAATGGGGCTAAGCAAAATAGAAAGAGGCAAAAAGGCCAAAAGCTGCAACATTGCGTTTGGCGTTCGTGTCACTGCCTTAATGCTAATTACCGTTACCCTTCGGCAGATCCCAATTACAGCGCCAAAATTGAAGCTGTTTGAATTAATATGCGCAGTCGCATTATATAAATTACACGAAATGAGAATGAAATGCTCGATCACAGGTCCGTCAGCAGCTAACGGTACACGCTCTCGTTCTAAAGCTATTCGCAGCTAACGGTAACGGGTATTTCGCTGCTGCTGCTAGCATTTGTCGCCTTTTGATTAAATTCGCCCTGCCTAACGGCGCTTGGACCACAATTTGAAATATGTGAACGCACAGTGGGATCAAATTCGAGCGCGAGGCGAGCAAAATGTATGCAGATATGTATATACAGTTATTTGGAGCATGTCAAATGTAGGCACTTACCCCAGAGCCTGTAGGCAGTGTGCGTGCGGCGCTGCCAACTGTTGGCGAATTTATGCGCTGCTGCTGCTGCCGCTGCCAGCGCTGCTGCCACTGCCGACGCTGCTGCCACTGCCGACGCTGCTAGTACTGTCCGTGGGGGACAGCGACAAAAGGACACGGCGTTAAGGACAACGTGTGCAAATGAGTTTTGTTTATGCGCGGCGTTCGCGAGGCCTGTCACTTGATTTATGGTGTGACCAAAACACTTTAAGATGCTGCGGCGCCACTTTCAGCTTATAGGTTTTATGGCCAACAACAGTTGTTGCTCTTACTCTTACTCTTGCTCTTGCTTTTGCTTTTGTTGTTATTATTATTATTATTATAATTAGTGTTGATGCTGTCGGTGTGCGAACTATAGTCGCTGACTGTGGCGGCGACGCCGTCTGCACGTGGCGTCCAAATCTGTAGCCATGGCATCGGCCAGGCTTTGTTTTTGTTTATGGTTTGGCACTATTGCGTTTGTCCACCCACAGCTGGACACTTCAGATGACGACACCAGCGACACCACTATATGATAAACTATTTAATTGATTTATTTATGCTTCTGGCACTGCACTCACACTCGACCACAGAAACAAAAAAAATTAATAATAATAATTACATATGCACGTGATAGAAGTCTTATATTTGATTTAGGCGTGTTGATTATTTATTTCTCAATTGCGTGCGCAGCATCCGATTGGCGTTGAGGTTTACAGCTAACTGTAGTTTAGCCGATTCAAAATCAAGCTGGCTCCATCGGAATTTGCAACACCACAAAATCCCAAAAATACCCGTTAGTATCAATAGTATTTGGTATTTTTCTGTAATATCGATACATAATGGTGGTATATTGCTGTTAAGTGTCTGCCATGGTATGGCGCACTCTGTTAATTTTCAATTATATTAAATTAAATTTACAAATAATTAAAGTTATAGTATATTAGGATTTATATAATTAATTTTTTAATAGCCGTCGAATCAAAAATAGTAAATTTCATAATTATGAGCTAATATGAAATTTATAGAACAAAATTAGACTAGCCGTAGATTCAAGCAATTAAAATTATGCTGTAACATTTAAGCTTACATTTCGATTTGTGTGTGCCCGTACTATACTAGTATTTTCCTCTGGCAATTTGCACGATAATCAATTCGCAGGTCGATAACATGTTAAGCACGATAAGGAATTACGATTGGCAATCGACACAAGTACAACTACGTGGCTGCCGCTGTTTGGAAAATAGACGTCAAATTCCACACAAGACAGCGAAAAAATCGAGTTAAACAAAGACGCCAGAATGCAAGAAACGATTGCTAAAGTACTGCTAGCCTTATGTGGCCTATTACTGCTATCAAGAGGCAGCCAGGCCTTTATCGTCAGTGTTGATGCACACAACGAGGAATGTTTCTTCGAGAATATCGAAGGTGGCACGAAATTCGGTAAGTAAAATCCTGCATTTAAACGACATTGCCCCACTAACAGTTAATGATTGCAGGCGTCACATTCGAGGTGATCGAAGGCGGCTTTCTGGATGTGGACATCAAAGTAACCGGACCCGATCAGCACATTATGCACGAAAGCGAAAAGGAATCGTCGGGTAAATACACGTTCGTTGCGCCCACTAAGGGCGTGTACACCGTGTGCTTCAACAACGAGCGCAGCAGCATGACACCCAAGCTGGTCATGTTCTCCATTGAGATGGGCGACTCACCGCAGCGCTTGCCCGGCGCACCCGGCGAGGAGGAAGTGGGCCACACCAAACTAGAGGACATGATCCGTGAGCTCTCCGGCACGCTGACCAGCGTCAAGCACGAGCAGGAGTACATGCACGTAAGTACCATATATTCTTACCCAACTCACATGGAGCCATTCCTCCACTCACACTTGATGCGCTCGCTTGCAGGTGCGCGACAAAATCCATCGGTCCGTCAATGAGAGCACCAACTCGCGTGTTGTCTTGTGGTCCACCTTTGAGGCCTTGGTCCTAGTCCTGATGACAGTCGGCCAGGTGTATTACCTGAAGCGCTTCTTCGAGGTCAAGCGCGTGGTGTAATGCCATCTACTCCTCCTCGTCCCCGTTTGTGCGTGCGTGCGTGTACAGAGCGAATGTGTTGCAGTCTCAGCCTAATTTTAATACAATTAATTAAATACTTTTTTTCGTAAAAAACAGTAAGCAACATGCTAACCATTCAATTTTTCAACTCATTTCAACTTTTCTGACTCTTTGAGACATTCAAAATGGAGAAGAGTATTATCTATACTCCACATTATTCCACATATTCCTGTCATTTCCTACGTAGACTGTTTAAGGACTTTGTAGTGTGCTTCAGGCAGGGCGCATGGATATGATGAAGTGCAGCTTAGCATAAATTTGAATATGATGTGAATAGCAGTGGCTACTGAATGAATGGATTTCAAACTTCTTCCATATCAGGCGCCTATACTTTATAGTTCTATTTGTACATTTTTGATTAGAACCATTTATTTATATGTGAAATATATCATTCAAATATACAATCTAATGTTATACACTTATAGCATAAATTCCAATCGAGTTTCAGCTGAGCTTCAATTGAACATTACAAATCTTTCACAATCACAGCTAACAACAATGGCGATTTCAAATAGTTGCATATTTAAAATATTACATAAAATCGTAGTTAAATTCGAGCAGATAAGAATAGTTGGCGTGACTTGCACAAATATGACAAAGATAAGCATAGGAGACATAAGGTAATAAATAAATATGCATATGCATGCACTATATATGCATAACAACAATGGAGTAAAAACATTGGCAAATGCTAGTCAGCCATGATTCCTCAGAGATCCCGAGCTGCTACGTCGTTAAGCAGCTTCTCTGCATAGTCCGATATGTGGAGCACGCCATGCTGCATGGACGCAATGTGCAGATTGTTGCCACTCATGTAGTCCTTGTTAATGTGCGCATTCAGCAGTTCGGCTATGAGCGTGGAACAGGCGGCAGCCGGATCGCTGCTGCTGTCGAGCGATTTCTAGGGAAAGCAAATGAGCGAGAGTAAGAGAGAGCGCAGATCCAAACAGTATACTTAAGTACTTACCGACCAGAACTCGTTGCCCGGCAGGGCGTTGCCATCCCAGGCATAGGTGACAATGGGCAGCATGGACTCCTTGAGCTTGTCGGCCGGATTGCGTACGGAGATGCGCACCTGGATGCCGCCCTGTGGATGCGCGGGCTCCTCTATGCAAGCGCCATCGAACAGGCCGCCCCATTTGTCCAGATGGAACCAGGAGAAGTGCACAACGCCAATGTGGGTGAGCTTAGCGCTGAGCGCACGCAGACGCTGCTCAAAGGTGGCCAAAAAGATTTCCTCCTGCTGGTCCGACACCTTCCAAACGCCCAGGCCAATGCCCACAACATGGATGTACGCCGGTTTGCCGGCGGAAGCGGCACGTGCCTCCGCCTCCAGGAGCAGCGTATCGAAGCTGATGGCGAAGCGCTTGCCCATGACCTGCTTGTCGAACTTGATGTCGTGTTTCAGCCGCATGAAGCGCTTGCCGTCTGCCTGCACATCGTTGTAGCGAAAGTCTTTGGGTTCCTCGTAGAACTGGCGCCAGAGACGGCGATAATCCTGCACCCGGTTCCCGGCAGATCCCGAGTAGCCGTAACCCCTGTTGGCCGTATTCTGCTCGCGCGTTATTAAGATATCCTCGCACTCCATCACATTACTGCGCCCGAAGCGCGACCCGATCAGCCCCATGATGATGCCATCCGTCTCAATCCTTGACTTGTCCTGCTCCACACGACCAGCATTCGTGCGCGAGCCATCGTTGATGAACTCCGAATGCGTGGAGGCATAGAGCAGAGCCGATAGCTTGATCTCGTCATAGCTCAGCACGTTCTTCAGCTCGAGTGGAGCACTCTCGTTCATGGTGCCAGTCTGCTCAAAGCCCCCATAGCCATGGGTGCCGTCCAGCAGCATAAAGTCATCCAACATGCCGACGAAGTAAACGCAGCGTTTCTCCAGCAGCCGCTGCACAAATTCCGGCAGCGTGAGATTCTTATAGACACTCAGCTCCTTCGGGTTGCCTGTCGATTGAAAGATCTATAGAAACTCTCGCTCTCTCTTTCTCCCTCTCGCTGTTAAAGACGAACCAAACTTCAGCTTGTGCTCCAGAAAGTTCATGTAGAGAATCAACACCTGCTCGTGTATGATGGGATATGCGGATGCTATTTGCTGTCTTATGTGTGGCCTTCGCTCCACTGGCTGCGACTTCACCCGACCGGCATCCGTGCCGAACTGCAAGCAAGGAATCGATCAGGTGATCTTTACAATTTCCTATTCGTTTCGTGTTTACCGGAATGGGAAACCTATCGGAGATGGACATGAACGCTTCCAAGTCGACGGCATCGGGCTGCTGGCTGGGCTTAGCCAGCTCCTTGCACAGGACCAGCTGTTGCTTGGCAAAGTCGCTGAGCACCGGCAAACGTCCTGCCGCCGGGTTGGGCCAAAGCTCGGTTGCACTATAGCCACTCATTCTTCTGAGTTGAATTTTTTGACTCAAGTCCTGAAAGAATTTCCGCATTTTTCACTAAATTTTAGGAAATTGCGAATTTACGAATTTTCGAATTTACGCAACAATCTCTTCGAAGTCTCTTCGAACAATGAGAGAAAATATAAACAAAGCAAATAAGTGAGCATCATTTTCTTATTATTTACAAGTGCTGCCGCCCTACGTCAGCCACTGGAAATTTCACCACACTGCTTATCACAACTTATCGATATCGATATCGACTGGACTATTGCATACCCTTGACTGTAAAAAGGCTCGCAAAGTTATCAAAATACATGCAAAATGAAAAGATAAATATTATTTGGATTTATTTAACTTACAAAATACGTTTGGTTTGCCACATTAACCAAGATGAGTTCAGTGCCAGCGAATGGATCGTCGATCACACCTGTTGCATTGCAGCAGCCAGCAACGAGTCGATATACCCGCTTCGAGCTCGGCGTTTGCAGCGTACGTTTCCATTGTTTATAAAATGCCGCACGCAATCGAATTTGTTATTAGTTTACTATTAGGTGTGATTGTGAAATTGAGTGCCTGACAACATGTCCACGTTCGGAGCCGAAGTCGATGCAATTTGGCCACCAGTGGAGTCTGCGCCACCGCCGCTGAGTCCATTCGGGCGACGGCTGCTGGAGCAGTGCAAATCCGTGGAACAGCCGGATCCGGGGGCAACTGTCGATGTGCGCGCCTTCATGCGAAAGTCTACCCAGTTTCCGCTGGAGGTATGTGGTGCTCCACTTAGACCATTCCCAATTGAAGTGCAATTAACGAACATTCATAAATTTCACAGTTCGGCGTGGAGACGTGCCGAGTGCAGAGTCAGCCAAGGGATCGGCACGAGTTGATTGGCAAGCAGATCGCCTCCGTCTATCCCCTGATACACGAGCGCACCTTGGCGCTGTACCTGGCCTACCTGGAGCACAAGGGGCAGTGGGGTAAGCGAGTGCGTGAATATCATCCGCTGCTCACATTGTTAATCTGAGATTCCAATTGATTCCAACCGAGCGCAGGCAACGCTGTAGAGCTGCGCGTCTATCGACAGCTGTCGCTGGTGGACTTTGTGCAGCGTCTGCTGAGCAAGCGCTGCGCCAGCTTCTTTGCGCGCAACGACAAGTTCTTGCTGGTGACGGGCGAGCGGGGAGCCAGCGGCTTTGAGCCGATTGGGAGCCTGAAGGAGCAGGCGCCGCTTCAGTTGGAGCACGTGCTCAGCTATGACGATATCAAGCTGTCGGCCCTGCTCTCGGTCAGCTCCCACACGGAGTTCATCAACGAGGGCGAGCGCACCAATTGCGGCCGTGTGACCCACAATCGGAAGAGCCTCGAGACGGACGGCGTGATAGTGGGAATGATCGGTGCGCGACTTTCGCGTCGCAATCTGATGGAGTTCCAGGATATTGTGATAGCGCGCACGCAAAACACTCCGGAGAATGGCTATGGACATGAGGTTGATGCGCCCGCCAACAGCCGAGCGGAGGACTATCGCCGGATCTGGCGCGGCTTCTATGAGACGCGCGACTTCCTGCGCAACGATGTGGACATCGACGGCAAACGATTTGGAGTGTCGGGCAACAAGCAGGATGTGTTCGATAATCTCGTGATGAAACGTCGCTATGCCATCAGCTTTGACATGTTGCTGCTGGAGGCGGAGGCACGCGCCGCCAGCGCTGGCAAACAGGCGTACATCCACGTTGTCGGCTTCGGCCTGGGCGTGTGGAAGGTAGCACCGCAGCAGGAGCAAATCTTCCTGGAGACCTTCGAGCAGCGTTTGCGTGTGCTCAGCGCCAGGCTCACCCACATTGGCGTCGTCCACTTTTCCTGGTTCAAGCTGGAACGCTGCGGCGGCATCCACAATGGCGCCATAATCGAGTCCTCGCAACACCCGGACGGCGGTGTTCGTGTGCATCTGTCGAAGCGCAATCCGGCCCAGAAGCTGACCATGCCGGAGCATGCCAACATGCTGCTCGTCGTATCCTATGCCTGGGATGGCAATGCCTTGCCCGGCAATGAGTTCTGGATGGTAAGTAGACAACCATAGCCACTGCTGCTCCAATGATCCTCGACGATCTTTTGTCTCTTTTCTGCAGAAAATGCTGAAGTCAACGGGCGACTCATCCACGGCCTGCTCCACCCTCATCGCTGAGCTGCACAATCCCCACATCAACGACGACTACTGCAATGGCCGTAATCTGCATATTGCCTCGCCCAAATACGGCGTGCTCCACATATCCGAGTATGCCAAGCGTGTGCTGGAGACCAAATCTGCATAGATGTACCTCACACCCACTCAAAATATAACCCTATATTATGTATATAAATCACATTATAAATATAACTATATGGGCGTGCATATATGTACGAACTTAACACAGTTTAAAAACTTAATTCAATTATTTATTGTGTCGGAATTACTTTTTATCTAGATTATCATATACTCAAACCAGGCAGCCCCTCATTCTATGGGACTTATAGCTAAGCTGATAAATAGGTTTGTGTCTTTGCTGACTCTGGTGCACCGACCACTGCACGAAATACAAAACTGTACAAAATGTTTTTATAAATGACGCAGCTAAAGTTTAGCTGCTAAAGTATAAATACAAATGCGGGTGCGTGTCTTTGCTAACATGTAGCTAGAAAGTCCTTCGATATTCATTGAATTTCCTTAAATAATGTATTTTCTTGTTTTGGCTTAATACATATATTCATTATGCACTTCTAAACGAAATGAGTAAATGCTCTAGCAGTGCTACATATTAATGTCATAGTGGGTGCGTGTCTTTGCTAGCTGTTGGTTAGAAAGTCCTTCGATATAGTTTTGCGATACTGTATTTCCTAAAACTACTTTCTGTTTCGAGGCTACATTAACAAATAAATTTAACATGCTCTAGAAATAAATAGAGGAGTAGCTATAGTTAAACTATTAACGTAGCTTAACTTTTATTTTCTATATTTCTATATAACCTTACTGAATTTCGTACAATATTTATGTATTTTTATATGTGGCGGCACCAATTTGTACTAATTAAAATATTTATCACATATACAAACCACACATGCGATAAGTATATGTCGGGTCTTCAATAACATTTGTCGGGTCTTCAATATCATTTTCATCATCTGACGAAATCGGCGTCACTTTTCTAACGGTGTTTGCCGACATTTTGTTCTTGGCACTGGAGCTACGTGAATTCCGCGCACGTGTGTCCATTTCGACAATTGCAAGTCGACTGACTCGAGCCGTCTTCTTACTATCTGGCAATTCTCTACGTTGCCACCTATCAACACTACGTGACACGGACTACACTCAGCAATCGGGAATTACTTCCCTGATCGCCACTCACAGCATATGACTATCGATATAACCAATCGATATCTATATTCAAATAACTCTCCGACATATATATGAGTGGTTGCTGCAGCTAATAAGGGGTGCGTGTCTTTGCTAGCTCCCCTCATAAAAATCGGGAAGCAGGACATGTAATAATTATCCATAGCTGGCCTAAAAAAAACCGGTGCGTGTTTATGCTAAGCAGCTCGCCGTAATCAAGACCCTGCGAAAATCCTAGTTGTTATAAATAGCATGGGTCACACCACATAGGCAATAAATGTATAAGAGTAGTTGCTGTAGCTAATAAGGGGTGCGTGTCTTTGCTAGCTCACAAATTTTTATTGACACTTTATAAGACAAACATCCCCATATAAAAATCGTGATACAGGACATTCAATCAATATGGGGCTTGTGTCAGAGCTGGTCTAAAAACAAGTCGGTGCGTGTCTATGCAACGCAATTCGACGTGGCCAAAACGGTGTTAAGGCAGTTTTATGGCAAGTGTGCCCTGCTAAGATCCTGGTTGATATAGATAGCTTCGGTGACACCACACAGGCAATAAATGTATAAGTTTAGTTCCTGTAGCTAATAGGGGGTGGTGTGTGTCTTTGATAGCTCACAAAAATATTGACACTTTATAAGATAAACATCCCCATATAAAAATCGTGATACAGGACATTCAATTAATATGGGGTTTGTGTCAAAGCTGGTCTAAAAACAAATCGGTGCGCATCTATGCAACGCAATTCGCCGTAACCAAGACGGAGCTAAACCAATTTTATGGAAAGTGTGCCCTGCTAAGATCCTAGTTGCTATAAATAGAATCGTTCAATGCCGCCAGAAGCTAAACTGCACGACTCTGAATAAATCTGCATAAATGTCTGTGGTCTATTTTTATTAACACTGAGTAGATGAACTCATAGGATTGTGCAGCGGCGTCTCGTCGGGGTGGGCGTGTTTAATGTTGATGCAATGTCGCCCCTTTTCAGGACGCGATGTGACCTCACCGCTGGACTGATCCGCCGACTGCTAAACTAGCTAATTCTTCTCGCTGCCTGGACTCTTCTTCGGCATGAATATCTCCAAGATGCGAAGCAGCCTCGACCGTGGCGTCGGCTTTATGCAAGCCGATATATCCTCCTCCTCCTCCTCATCCACCTTATCCACCTCATCCATCTCATCCACCTGCTCCTTCATCTCCTCCTTACCCTCTTGCTGCTGATTCTCCTCGTCCGCTTGTTGTGGTCTATTGTCCATTATCAATGTCAGGTCACTGCGCGGCGACAAAGACTCGGGTATCGGTAAGATCAGATAAGGCAAGTTCTTTACGCGCGGCATCAACAAATCAATGCTTGACTCCAGAGCTGACTGCGAACGCTGCACGGTCGGACGCGACTTCGCCTGATTGGAGGAGGTGTCCTCCTGGCGCGCCTGTATCCGGGTTGTGCCCGCAGCACGTGAGACTATCGGCTGCATGCGCGGCGAGCTCACGGCCTGCACCCTGCCTGCGCCCGCGGCCCGTGAGACTATCGGCTGCACTCGTGAGGTGCTCGGCAAATCTGCCTTTGCCCTGGCCAATCCAGTCTGACCGTACTGGCCGCACTGACCCTGCTGTGGTCGCAAGGACTCGGGCTTCACCCGCGATGTGGGCTGCGTCCCTAGCGCGGGCTGTCCGCGTGTCACGTTTTGCTGCACTTTGTATGATGTCGGCGATAATTTGGAAATGCTGCGGTGCACTCTCACCGTGGTGCGCTGTCCGCACAATGCTTCCAGCTGGGCCCTGGGCGAGCCAGCGCCTCCCCTCGGGGTGCCGGAGCAGGTCTTCGGGTTGCCGGAGTTGCCCCTTGGGGTGCCGGAGCAGGCGGTCTTCGGATTGCCCGTAGGACGTCCTTTCGGTGCAATTTGCTGTCGCTTCGAGACTCGGCCAATGGTGCCTGGAGCAGCGGACGGCTGAAGGTATTCGGTGATCTGTTCGCCCAGTGGCGCCTCGGGCCCAACGTCCATGACGAGCGTCCTGCTGCGCGACAGTTTGATGAATCTCGGCTCCTGTGGCTTAACCGGCGGGGCGGAGCGGGCGCGATTTCCGCTAAACAGGCTGGCCTGCCCGATCACAATGGGCATGTAGCCGCGAGCCACAAGTGGATCATAGTTGGGCGGCATCTGAACGAAGTTCGTCTCGTAGAACAGTTTGAACCACTGTGCGAAGGCGTAGTTGTCCTGGAAGCGCCCCTTCACCAGCAGCTCGATGTCAATGGGCGTGTTCACGTTGACGGCATTGAAGCTCTGCTGGAGCACGCGAAAGTTCTCGATGAACTCAGTCGGCTGATTGCAGACGAACTTCACCTTGTGCATGCGGACCAGGTCCGGGAACAGAATGTCCATCAGGTTGCAGTAGGCAGCGCCAGTGCAGAGATCCTCGATCTTCTGCACATCGGTGTCCAGGGTGTCATTGATCCATGAGATGATCTCGTTGCGCGACCACTGCTTCGAGTTCCGAGTGTAGACCACGTTCGTGGCCCTTAGCCGGCGCGGCGCCATTACCCTAATGGATACGCTATATCTATATATCACTAGACCGTTAATGGTTCCGGCTTGAAAAATACTCCAGGCGGTCGAAATTACTCGTATAATCCTTGGAAGCTACAAAATGTAGAAGAGAAGGAGATGTGTGTGAGTGTGTCTCTGTCTCTCTCTCTCTCTCTCTCTCTCTCTCTCTCTCTCTCTCTCTCTCTCTCTGCACTCACCTCAACTTGTGCTGTGTTGGTCCAAATGATTCAATGGGATTTCATACACATATACATATATATAAGATATATCCCTACACTACTATCGACTATTATTATAGTTAAATAAAAGTNCTGCGGTGCACTCTCACCGTGGTGCGCTGTCCGCACAATGCTTCCAGCTGGGCCCTGGGCGAGCCAGCGCCTCCCCTCGGGGTGCCGGAGCAGGTCTTCGGGTTGCCGGAGTTGCCCCTTGGGGTGCCGGAGCAGGCGGTCTTCGGATTGCCCGTAGGACGTCCTTTCGGTGCAATTTGCTGTCGCTTCGAGACTCGGCCAATGGTGCCTGGAGCAGCGGACGGCTGAAGGTATTCGGTGATCTGTTCGCCCAGTGGCGCCTCGGGCCCAACGTCCATGACGAGCGTCCTGCTGCGCGACAGTTTGATGAATCTCGGCTCCTGTGGCTTAACCGGCGGGGCGGAGCGGGCGCGATTTCCGCTAAACAGGCTGGCCTGCCCGATCACAATGGGCATGTAGCCGCGAGCCACAAGTGGATCATAGTTGGGCGGCATCTGAACGAAGTTCGTCTCGTAGAACAGTTTGAACCACTGTGCGAAGGCGTAGTTGTCCTGGAAGCGCCCCTTCACCAGCAGCTCGATGTCAATGGGCGTGTTCACGTTGACGGCATTGAAGCTCTGCTGGAGCACGCGAAAGTTCTCGATGAACTCAGTCGGCTGATTGCAGACGAACTTCACCTTGTGCATGCGGACCAGGTCCGGGAACAGAATGTCCATCAGGTTGCAGTAGGCAGCGCCAGTGCAGAGATCCTCGATCTTCTGCACATCGGTGTCCAGGGTGTCATTGATCCATGAGATGATCTCGTTGCGCGACCACTGCTTCGAGTTCCGAGTGTAGACCACGTTCGTGGCCCTTAGCCGGCGCGGCGCCATTACCCTAATGGATACGCTATATCTATATATCACTAGACCGTTAATGGTTCCGGCTTGAAAAATACTCCAGGCGGTCGAAATTACTCGTATAATCCTTGGAAGCTACAAAATGTAGAAGAGAAGGAGATGTGTGTGAGTGTGTCTCTGTCTCTCTCTCTCTCTCTCTCTCTCTCTCTCTCTCTCTCTCTCTCTCTGCACTCACCTCAACTTGTGCTGTGTTGGTCCAAATGATTCAATGGGATTTCATACACATATACATATATATAAGATATATCCCTACACTACTATCGACTATTATTATAGTTAAATAAAAGTATAAAAGCTGCTATAAAAACTTGTATTGAAACTAAAAGCTAAATCACATATCCCAAATTTCCACCCGAAAATAAGATCCGAAATATTTTAAATAGTGAGATTCCAGAGAGATGCCTACGACTGGCTATAGCTTTAGGCCCCTTGATGCGAGTGCGTTTCCAAATTCTGCAAATGTAAGCGAAGGCTCTGGATTAGTATTATTGGATGTAAATCGATATATATATAATTGTAAGTGTAGATATATTCCCCGCCTCCCCCTAGGTAAGGGGCTAACCGAAAGCCGACCCACTTTCCCCATTTGCAAGAGAAACAAATTGCACAAAAATATTCAAATATTTGTTCTACTCGGAATATATTTCTAAATAAATATTCCAGCTGGTTGCAATAACTGGTTAGCCTATAGCCCTCTCCCTCTCTCACTCTCTCTCTGTCTCTGTCTCTGCTTGCCTAAGCAACTTTTTGCGGTTGACCGACCAAATTGTTGCGAATGGCTTCAAACTGAAAGCCACTCAACGCAGCAAATAAACAAATGCAATTTAATTGTAAACCATTCCCGAGGCTCTCTTCAAGCCACCGCCCACCGCCCACCGCCCCCACTGCCCACCGCCGCCCACCTCTGAATATATCTCTCATCTTTTGGTTGAGTTTGCTTTGTTTGCATTTGGCTTTCACTTCTGTTTGTATTTATAAATTTTAATTGATTGCATTCAAAAACAGAAATTCAATTTCCATTTTAGCCCTCGCACAGAGGCTGTGCGAGCGAGAGGGACAGCAAACGACAGAGACAGAGCCTGGAAAATATATGTCTATTTGCACGCACAACCTGCTATTTGTCGCCTCGCCGCGACACAAAAACTAAAGCATTAAACACACCTGCTCATAATGAGCATCTGCTCCACCTGGCTTGACCCGACCCAATCGATATTTCGCACAGTTCCACATGAATATTTAATGCGCATTTGTTCAAAGACTAGCCCGAGCTTAGCTGTCGCCTTACAAATCGTATAGTCCTACTGCTATAGCTGGTCCCAGTTCTTTACTTAAGTTTCCTGATGAAAATTCACCTCTACTAGAAGCTGATATCCATTTCTAGCCAACCTCTACTCGCAACTCAAAGCGAAGCTCTTTTTAGGGACTAGATTCCTTTGAAACGGTCTCACTCCATCTCTACTAAAGTCACTTCTGTTCCAGACTCTTTCCTTTTCCAGACCCACTTCTATACCAATCTCACTTTCATTCCAACCTCACTTCTGTTCCAGCCTCACTTCCATTCCAATCTCAATTCCATTAAAGGCTCACTTTTATTCCCGACTCACTTCTGTTCCAATCTTACTTCTATTCCAGATTCTCCCCCATTCCAGACCCACTTCTGTATCAACCTCGCTATTATTCCAGGCTCACTTCTGTTCTAGACACACCTCGGATTCAAACTCTTTCTTATTCCAGACTCACGCCTATTCTAACCTCACTTATCAATTTGCCAATCACTATTATTCTAGGCTCCCTTCTGTTCCCAGCTCAATTCTGTTCTGGATTCACCACTATTCCAATCTTACTTGTACTCCATTCTCACTTCTGATTAAAATTCTTTCCTATTTTAGATTCACTTCTATACCAACCTCACCTCTATTCTAGACTTGCTTCTTCTATACCACTCTCATTCTTATACCAACTTCACCTCTGTACCAATCTCACTTATATTCCAGGTTCATATTCATTTCGGCTTGACTTCTGTTCTAATCTCACTCTGATTCGCATCTATACCAATCTCACATCTGTCCCAGACTCACCTCTATACCAACCTCACTTCTATTCTAGACTTACTTCTTCTATACCAGACTCACTCTTATACCAATCGCACTTTTATTTCAATCTCACTTCTATTGTATACCAAAATCTCTTCTATACCACTTCGCACTTCTGTTCCAAGCTCTTCAGCCAGCTTAACCCAGTGGAGGGTTGAGCCACCGATTTAAGATATATGAATTTCGCGCTTCAATACTCACCAGATAAAATTGAAATTTGCCTAATCGAATTATTCTAATGTGCACGAAAATAAATGTTGAAAATAAATAAATAAAAAATTTTGCTTCGAGCTGTGTATTTCTCTATTTTACTTTGTAGACTGAACTGGAAATGGAGCTGCCCGGACTGCCTAGGAAAATCTCAGCGACAGTAAAGCCAATGCTGAGTTGATCGAGAAATTTTTCACTGTTTGTGTGACGTCACTTTATACCAACTAACCAAATCGAAGAAAAACCCGAATTTGTTCAAATATACGAATTGAAAACTTTCGATACTCACCAGATGAAATTGAATTATCGCAAAATCTAAATATTTGAATGTGAGCGAAAATAAATGTTACAAAAAAATATAATAATATAAAATTTTGTTTAGAGCTGTGTATTTCTCTATGTTACTTTGTAGACTGAACTGAAAATGGAGCTGCCGGGACTGCCTAGGAAAATCTCAGAGACAGTACGGTCCATGCTTCATTGATTGGAGAATTTTCAGCAATTTTGATATATAGAGAAATTTACCTCAGCGACAGCTATTTCAATGCGCAGCTGATTAACTATATATTTACATAGTTTACTAGAAATGGATACGTAACGTTCATATTATTCTCGCTTTCCATTAAAACTCTGCACAAGAACGAGTTCTCTATTTCGTCAGCTCTTGCTCGTTCCACAGCGAAGACCCTTTTCCGACTTGTTCTCCTTTGTTCTGGTTGCATTCCTCTTGATTATCGAATCTTGATTATCAACAATCCGGAACTGCGTCCCTCAACAGTTGTAGTGACAATACATCCTTTAATTGCTATTGATATGCCAGCTCATTCGGATAATCCCTCAAATGCCACAGCAATGTCATAATATCACACCGATACGACACGGACATTTAGACGTTCCTATCTAATCAGTTTCTTCTAAAATCATACGATACGACACATACATATATATTTTGCTTTGCCTTTTGCAAAGCATTTTTTCTTTGTGGATTTCTACGATATCCGTCCGCCTGTCCGAGGATATAAATGATCTTGAGATTCGCCCCATGTGTGTCAAATTCAAAAATGCAATGTGTAGTACAACCACTTACGATGTCATAGACTTGAAATATACATCCATACAGTAGAATCCGGCTATATACACGAAAGACGTCTGAGCCGTATAAGTCTAATCATATAAGTTTTGTCTGGGGACAAACGGACGATGTACGGACGCCATAAACGCTGTCGCTATAACGGGATTTTACTGTACATATA